TTTAGTGACAAGGTCTCACTCTGTCACCCATGCTGGAGTGCAGTGGTGCCATCCTAGCTCACTGCAGCCTCAAACTCCTGGGCTTACGTGATCCTCCTGCCCCAGCCTCCTGAGTAGCTAGGTCTATGGGCACACACCACCATGCCTAACTAGTTTTAAAAAAGAGGTTTTTGTAGAGATGTGGTCTCTGTGTTGCTCAGACTGGCCTTGAAGTCCTGGCCTCAAGTAGCCCTCCTAGCTCAGTCTCCTAAAGTGTTGGGATTATAGGTATGAGACTTTGCACCTGGCTTTGTTGATCATTTTAAAGTCCCAGCTTTAAAAATCCAACTTTTGATTTCTCCTGTTTTCTGTATTGTTTGTATATTATCAGTTTCATTTATCCCTGCTCCTCTTATATTTTAAGCACTGCTCTGAGTCCTGGTGTTAGCCTGTAGCCATCTTCACAGGTTATAACACTGGATCAGAACCATCTTGTGGTATAGTGGAAAGAGTGTACCCTTGGATTCTTAGTCATTGGTTCAAATCCCAGCCTTGGCATTTCCTAGCTGTGAGTCTTGGGCAAATGACTTAGACCCTCTTAACTAGTTTTATTGTTAGTAAAATGGAGAGAATATCTGCCTTGCAGGTGTTGTGAGGATTACATGAGATCATTTAATGTCTGACGCATAGTAGGCACTCAAAACTCGTGCTGCTTATTTTACTGATTGAATAAGATCTGCGCTAATGACTTTTGTCATTGTCCCATAATAATTCAGGAGTTCAGAGGACTGTGAGCATTTGCTTCTGGGATTTGAATCCTCCTTCCTCCCCAAGGATCCTTGGGTTCTAATCCCCTCAGCAAGTTGCTAGGTTACCATTTAAAGGGATGTAGTTCATTCATGTTCCCTGAAGCCTGAGTAACTGAAGACCCCTTGTTGAGAAACTCCTTCTAAATATGATTTGAGCCAAAATGTTAAAGGTGGATGAAGACAGATACTCCCCCCAAACGTACTTCTTTTAGTCTACTTGTCACATAAAGTAGCCGTATTCTATGCCAATAGGCAGACCCTTCTTTTTTAGATTACCTAACATTTATTGGAAAATAATATCCATCAATGTCACCTATTTAAGCAATTACTTTTTTTTAGAATCTATAAGTCGTCTTCTTTATACATTCCTGTGATAAAGAAAAAGCAACTAAACTTTTCTCAAATTCTGTTTTTGAGTTTTCTGTATATTTCCCAGTTCCTTGTGGCTTAACAATTTTCTTCGCCTTCCTTAATGAAAAGAACAATTTGAATGACTTTTGCTAGTTGCTGTCTCAGTTTTCTCTATTGTTAAATACTCAATCTGCAACTTTTTTTTTTTGCTCTCTTAAATAGCTGACATAGATCTGCTCAAATCATAAGCCTGTGGTTAAATCCCCATGAGAAGTGTATCTGGGGCATTAGTTACCTTCTGTTGATCTCATCATGATAGATACCAATTTTATCTTTTCTCTTTATATGTTTCATTGAATTCGCTATTAATATTTTTGGTACAATATGATTTCTAATGTTTTGTGAAATATTTCAAGAATGTGGCTTTTTCTTTATCGTAACCTTGGTTTTTTTGTATGTACTTTAAATGTGTAAATGGGATTGTATGTTAGAGGCAGCATAGGTATTTTCAGCTTAAAGTAAACATCTCCTAGGATAAAGCATTTTTTTGCAATTTGCCCCTGAAGGTATTTGTTTAGTAAGTTTGTATTTATATAGACTAGCAATAGATGTATGACGCAAGCTATATATGTTATTTGAAATTTTCTAATAGCATTATTTTTAAAAGTGAAAGGAAACAGGTAGGTGAAATTAATTTTAATAATATATTTTATTTAACCCAATATGTTCCAGAATATTATCATTTCCACATTCACTCAATATAAAAAAATCATTAAAAAGATATTTTACATCTAGTATATATTTTAACATAATGGAGCATCTCAACTTGCTGCAAAATTTTCGTTGGAAATATTAGGTCTATATTTAGATTTTATAGCTGTTGTAGTTGAAAAAGTAAATTTGTACACTCCGTTGTTTCCTTCCCCACAGGCAAGTAGTTTGAAATAGGATTTCCAGTAATTGAATCAAGTGTTCATTTTTAAATTTAAATTAACTACAGTTAAATAAAATTAAAAATTCAGTTCCTTTGTCCCACTAGGCACATTTCAAGTGCTTATTAGTCACACGCATTAGACAGCACAGGTATCTTAATCCTAGTCCTAGGGAACCTAATTTTCTGATACTAGGGCACAGCTATACTATATTGCCATTAAGGGAGTTATTTTTGTGTTCTTAGTCAAAAATGTCAGCTTTCTCTTTCTTCTGATTCCCCATGCTATTTTTGTTTAAATGCTTTAAGGCAAATCACTGCTTTCTAGGTACTTCTGTGTTGACAGATTATTGGTTTGTTTTCATTTGCTCTGCTGTGGTCAGTCCTCGAACTTGCTAGGGGTCCTAGCACTTCAAGTCGCCTCTAGGGACACATGTGAGTGGTTGGAGAAGAGGAAATTCTATGCTCTCCTGGTGGAATTGATGTGATGCATGTTAAGACGCTTAGAAGTAGGATATTTGGCCATTTGCTAGTAGTCAAGGAGGACCATGCTCTGCCTCATGTTTTTATACAGAAGAAAACACGGGATGACGTGGTACTTAGGCAATTGGGCAGCTTCAGTTTACAGTTGCAGTCTTCCATTTGACTCTTGTCTTGGGAGAGAAAGCCTAGGCATATTAGTCAGGGCTCTTGTTATGGGAGAGAAGGCCCAGGTACGTATTAGCCAGGGTGCTCCAGAGAAACAGAAGCAATAGGATACAAGGAGTCGGGGAGGAAGAAGGGAGAATGACGGTTGTTATAAGATTATTGGTTTATGTAATTATATAAACTAAAAAGTCTCATCATCTGCCATCTGCAAGCTGGAGACCCAGGGAAGTTGTTGGTCCAGTTTGAAGGCCTGAGAGCCAAAGAGCCAGTGGTATAGATTCCACTCTGAGTCTAAATTCCTGAGAACCAGGAGTGCTGAAGGCAGAGAAGATCTATGTCCCAGCTCAACCAATCAGGCAGAGAGAGAACTCAACCAATTACCCTTTTGTTCTATTCTGGCCCTCAATGGATTAGATGATTCCCACCCACATTTGGGAGGGCAGTCAGCTTTACTCCGTCCCCAAATGCTCATCTCTTCTGGAGACACCCTCACAGACACCTATAAATAAAGTTTAACCAGGTATCTGGGCATCCTATGACCCGGTCAAGTTGGCACATAAAAATAACCATCATTTCCAGGTTTCTTAAGAGAAGCCTAGAAATCTAGATTTTTTATATGAATTCTTCCAATTTTCAAAGGCTTGCAACTAATTCAGTTTTATTTTAAAGCATCTGAGTGACAGACCACATCTGCAGGCTGGGTCTGATTCTGTGTCACCAATTTATAACCTCTAGACTAAAATATACTACCCACCAGCTTTATTGCACACAGAGGGCTACCAGACACAGGGTATATATGAACTTAAAATCTCCAGCAGTGGTGTTTGCATTATATCATTTCACCCTTCCTTTTTTGGAGCATGTTCAGTATATCTGAATTGGGTTATAGTTAGGTGATAATGGATTAGAAGTGGCTTGTCACTGCTTACTACTTAAGAATATGATTTGCCGTTAAGAATCTGATTTGCCACTGAGTGTGGTGGCAATTGTATTTTTCTTTTAGGAGGAGTAGGAGAAATGATATTAAAAGCATTTTACTTTTTTTTTTTTTTTTGAAACGGGGTCTTGCTCTGTCACCTAGGCTGAAGTGCAGTGGCATGATTATAACTCACTGCTACAGCCTTGACCTCCTGGGCTCAAGCAGCCCTCTTGCCTTAGCTTCCTGAGTAGCTGGGACTGCAGGCATGCACCATCATACCTGGCTAATTTTTTAAATTGTATTTTGTAGAGACAGGGTCTCCTATGTTGCCCAGGCTGGACTCAAATTTCTGGCCTCAAGCAGCCCTCCCACCTCGTCCTCCCAAAATGTTGGGATTACAGGCGTGAGCCACCACGCTTGGCCCATTTTAATTTTTTAATTTGCCATATAAAATATATAATTATGTACAGTTCACATACTAATGCTTGCTTGTCCCTGGCAGGAAATGTGATTGATTGAAGCAGGCCAGGCGCTGTGCTGAACTGAGGAGTGCCAGCCTGTCCTGAATGGGGCAGTTGCAGTTCTCCAGCTGATTCTGGCCATTGGAGAGAAGAAAGCCCAGGTTTCCAGGTTTTTTAAGAGAAGCCTAGAAATCTAGAGTTTTACATGAATTCCTTCAATTTCAGAAACTAAGCAATGAATTCAATTTTATTTTTAGAGCACCATGAGAAACACACAAACCACGTGTACAGGCTGGATTTCACCCTTTGGCTACCTGTTTCTAACCTCTAGTCTAAGATGTACTGGTAATCAGCATTATAGGATAGAGGGCTATCTAGAGCAAGGGTTTTCAGTCTTTTTGATACAATAGATTCCTTTGGCAGTCTGGAGAAGCCTGTGGGCCTCTTCGAAGAAGAATGTTTTAAAGTAGATTTTAAAAAGTAAATAATTACAAAGGAAATACATTGTATTGAAATATACCAATCAAATATTTTTGTAAGAAATTGTGATATGTGTGCTTTTTTATTAGTGCATTAAATAACACAATCTAGTGAAGCTCTATTAACTACTATAATTTTTAAATACTGTGAGAATAAGTGATATTTTGAGATAATTGTAACAACTTTTAAACAATATTAAAATATCTGACGTCTGTTGGTGGCAGGGTCACAGATAATGTTAATAGTGCCTGCTTTGTTGCTTAAATTCCTAATGGAAGACATTGTTAAATTTCAACTAGAAACTAGTGAAAACAAAGGTGTAACTTTCCCCCACCCACGTCTAATGAATTCCAGTAAGTCTCATTTTAAGAACCCATGGTCCAAAATATGCTCAACTTATTTATAATCGTTTTAATGGTAGAATGTAATGTTATTGAGTATAATTAAGCCACCATGTTACAGTTTATTTCTGTTTTTACAGTTAACTTTCTGGTTACTGAGCTTGATTCTGTTTTTCTTTAGAACGTTATCATTTGTCTTATAAGATTGTACGAACGGACAGTCGCCTGGTACGCAGCATTCTGACAGCTCATGGATTTCATGAAGTAAGTTTATATTTACTACCTCACCTGATCTGCTTAAAAGCCGAAAATCCTAGCCACCCAACTGACTTTACCAATTAACAGGGCCAGCTCTAGGAAGTACATGGGACCAATGCTTAATGATGATGCAGAGCTCAGATTGAATTTCGGAGTGGCTTTACCAGTTTCTGCTTGCATTACATGGAAAACATTTCCACACGATTTTAGAAAAAGTTTTTTCTTGCTATGTTCTTGGGCTTGGGCCAGGGGCACAGTTGTACATAAGGAATTGTCTGATACCCAATTGAGGTTCTTTGATTGCAGACAACTGAAATGGACTTTGCTTAACTTAAAACCAAAAGGAATTTGTCAGCATGGCATGCAGAGGGGACTAGTGGAATCAGAGAAAAAGCTGAAAAGGCAGGCCTTTTGAAGGAGAGAGACCAGGACAGCCCCAGGGATCTAGGAACAGGAGTCTTTAGGATCATCTTCTCAAGGCACTGCCATGGATGCGGCTGGACTCCACTCATTGTCCTTTGGCCTTTCCTTGCTAAAAAAAAAAATCACATTCTGGAGCTAGAATGATTGACTTAGCTTGGGTCATGGATCCACTTCTTGGGGGAGGGGAGGGGTGGGTGATTGGCAGGCTCTCGAAAACCAAGGAGTAAACCATTCTCCAGAGAAAATTGGAAGATTAGAATGTTGACATCTAAAAGGACAGGCAAAAGGCTGAACAGACTTCCACTATAGATATTTTGTGACAGTTGATAACTGTCTCGTTCCTAGCTTGAGAGTTCTAAGAGATATTTTGAGGAAGCTCTTTTTTTAAAATTAGAAAATTTTTTATTTTTAGAGACAAAGTCTTACTGAGTACTCAGGCAGGAGTACAATGGCATGATCATAGCTCACTGTAGCCTCGAACTCCTGGACTCAGTGATTCTCCTGCCTCAGACTCCCAAGTAGTTGGTACTACAGATGCATGGCACTACTCCTGGTTAATTTAAAAAAAATTCTTTTTCTAGAGACAGGGTCTCCCTGTGTTGCTAGGCTGGTCTCAAACCCCTGGACTCAAGCGATCCTCCTGGCTCGACCTCCCAAAGTGCTGAGATTACAGGCATGAGCCACTGCACATGGGCATGAGGGAAGTTCTGATACCAGTTTGTGTCCTGTCTTGTTGCTGTTTTGTTTCTGGCACTCAACACGGTGCCTAATTGTTGAAATGATGGACCAATGAATCTTAATGGATGAATGAGTGAATTCTAAGTTGATATGCTACTATAAAGTTGATTTCTGATCAACACTTCATACTCAGTATCTGCAAGAATAAGGACAGCCTGAGAAAGGAGCTGGGGTTGGGCCTTCATCTCATATTTTAACATGCAAGAATATTGAGACATCATTGACTTCTATAGCAGGGTTAATTTATCTTAGTTTCTGCATCTGGGATTTGCCCAATCCTCCCATTCTTTGAATTTGTTTTGTGATGCACTGCTTTTGTCTCACTAGGCTCACATACTAATTGGGCCACCCCTGTGAGTACACTGTAGGTGAAAAATCACTGTGGCTTTTTCTGCCATTGCTTTTCCTGGAGAAGGGGTATCTCTGATGTTTTTTTGCCTTCCTGTCTTTCTGTCTGCCCTCAGGTTCACCCAAGTAGCACTGACTATAACCTAATGTGGACAGGATCCCACCTGAAGCCCTTCTTACTTCGTACCCTCTCTGAAGCACAAAAAGTTAATCACTTTCCAAGGTAATGCTCTTTGTAGCTGCTTTGCTTCATTTAAAGGTACATGACATTGGGGCATGTGGCTAGCAGCCGTAATTAATGTCCTTAAAGAAGAAGAAGAAAATGAAGAAGAAGCCTTTTTTTTTTTTTTTTTTTTTTGAGATGAGTATCGCTCTGTCATCCAGACTGGAGTGCAGGGGGCATAATCTCAGCTCACTGCAACCTTTACCTTCTGAGTTCAAGCAATTCTCTGCCTCAGCCTCCTCAGTAGCTTTGTTTGCAGGCATGTACCACCATGCCCGGCTAATTTTTGTACTTTTAGGAGATATGTGGTTTCACCATGTTGGCCAGGCTGGTCTCAAACTCCTGACTTCAAGTGATCCACCTGCCTTGGCCTCCCAAAGTGCTGGGATTACAGACATGAGCCACTGCGCCCAGCCAGAAAAAGAAATTTTTGATATAGGACAGGACTCTGCAAATCAAACTGTTGTGTTCATATCGCTGAGCGTGAGTAAACAATTTCTAAGGGCGATACAGACATGGACGGCTTTAAAGGAGAGAGTTTCTGGTTCTCTTTCCTAAAATTGAGCCTCTTGGAAGTATCTCATGATGGGTTTGCCTTTCTTATTGCCCCTTCACAGTTACTGTTTTTTCATTTTTATTAAAAAATGGCTCACCTAGAATCTTAGTCTGGTATATTGTCCTTAGGTATAGAAATTTTCAGGGTTCCAAAGAAAGGTACAAAAAAATTGGTGTCTAATTGAGTTCTAGTAATAGCATAACAAATCCTTTTTGCATGATGGTAGTTTCTATTTCTTTGTTTTTAAAATAATTGAAGGGGAGGATATAATCTAGCTATTAACTGATAGATCAGTACACATAATTTTAATGACAGATTGTTTTGTGATTTTTGATGTATAATCAGGAAGGAGTTCACAGAATTGAGTGTCATTGGTGTTTGGATGAATTGTATACTACAAAACTTGCAACGATAATCAGTCATGTATATATAAACAGTTATAGCCTTATGATCACAGGAAAATAAAATTATATCTCAATTCCTATGTATAATTTTGCTTTAGAGAAGGTATGATATGATGTAAAAGACAGGTATTAAATATGTTAGGCTAACCTGTTCTTTGTGGGAAATGAATGGAAGAATTAAAAACAAGGGTGACTGAGGGATAGTCTGTGGCGGTCTGAGGGAAACTTTAGGCATGTTGGGAATGTTCTATACACAGTCTGAGTGGTGGTTACACAGGTGTGTTCACTTTGTAAAAATTCATTATGCCCTGCCTTGTACTTTGTATACTTTTCTGTACATATGTTAACCTCATCGAAAAGCATATTTTAAAAAGCGAAAATCTTACTGACAGAGCTTTTCCTTTAATAACGTTTTAAATTTAGGTTATTTAGGTTCCCTTCAGTATACTTAAAAGTGTGGTGTTGGCTAGGTGCAGTGGCTCATGCCTGTAATCCCAGCATTCTGGGTGGCCAAGGTAGGCAGATTGCTTGAGCCCCAGGAGTTGGAGACTAGCCTGAGGAACGTGGCAAAATCCTGGCTCTATTAAAAAATAAAACAAAAATTAGCTGGGCATGGTGGCACATGCCTAGCAACTTGGGATGCTGAGGTGGGAGGATCACCTGAGCCTGGGGTGGTCAGGGCTGCAGTGAGCTATGATTGTGCCACTGCACTCCAGCCTGGGCACCACAGAAAGACCCTGTCAAAAAGAAAAAAATGCAGGGGGTGGTGTTATAATTTTATCTTAATATAATATTTACCATTCATCAGATTCTTTGGAATGATTTCAGTTTCTGGTGAAAAATCTTAGATGCCAGCTTAAACATACAAGAGGATATATAGTTTCCCCAAATTCTTCTAGGATGTACCAAAGAAGTTTGAAAACCACTGATTTGGGGCATCTGTAGGAGAATGCATTCTTTTTCTTACCCTCTGGTTCAGTGTTTCTGATTTTCTAATGATTTCGAAATTACTGTTGTAGATTAAATCAGCAGTTAGTGTAGGTCCTGGACCATCTTTATCAGAATCTTCTGGGGTACTAGTTTAAAATGCAGAACCCTGGGCTTCATCCCAGAATATTGAGAGGTGAGGCCCAGGAACAAGCATTTTTTTAGGAAGTTCTCTAGGTGATTCGTACGTACACTAAAATTTGAGTATCTCTGCTCTGGAATTTCAGAAGAGGGCCATGGATAAGAAAGAAATGTTTGTCGTACCTAGATTTGACAAAGCAGTTTTTGAAATCATAGAAAGAAATTTGAACTGTGGAACAGGTTGAATTAGTTTTTAATGATTACCACAAAGGTTCTTAGGTGGTTTTGAAGAAATGGAACAAATTATAGCCCAATGAGTCCAGTTGAGGCTAACCTGGAGTACTGTGCATAAGAATGCCAATTATTACCCTGATTTTAAGGTGCTAATTTCCTTGGTTTTCTTTATCACTTTGCCTCTTCTATATCCATCTCTCAATGATGTAGTTCTCAATGGGGTTCCTAACCTGGGTCTTTACTGTAATAGGATCATTATACCCTCAAATTAAGGTCTGTCTTGGGTCTGATCCAGGAGGGTCATTGTAGGCCCCTGGTGCTAGTGATGAAGTGAGTTCCACATAGTATATGAGAGGTTGAGCAGTTATTGCTGTGGCAACAGATTTGTAAATATGGATTAAATAACCATGTGTTTGATTTTCCTGGACAGTCCTTTTTAAAAATATACTAAATGCTTTTCCTCCTAAAAACAAATTAATAAAGCATCTCAAATTCTGATGTTTTAGTAGCCAATCTCTCACAGTTTTCATACTACTTAGAATTAACTCAGAATTTTTTTTGTCAGGCTGTTTCTCAGAAGGTCACATCTGTAGATTCCTGTGGCATTAAAAACTTCCAGAATGCTTTGGTCTGGGAGCTTGCTTTTAGTTGGAGTACTGGTGTTTTTTTTCACTATCTGAGTAATCCAGATGATTTTATATTGTTAGAGGATCATGATTCCATTAGAGTAAAACACACAGCGTTCCAAAAATATTTTATAATGATTTATAGTAGTGAATAGCACAGACTCTTTTGAAGCCTTTGAAGCTAGAATTTTTTTCACATCTTCGGTTTTTATAACCTGAAATTTTGGGTATATTTATCAACAGTCATACTTTAAACAGTTTTTTTTTTTTTTGTTTACTTATATTTGAAATCTGTTTTAGAATAGATTTTATACTTGTGAATAAATTTTTAAAAACCCATTTGAAATAAGGGTCATAGACCTAAACATAAAACATTAATTGTAAAACTTGTGGAAGAAAACAGAACATCTTTGCAACCTTGTGTTAGACAAAGGATTCCTAGATACAATAAAAGCACAATCATAAAAGGAAAAAAATTGATAAATTGGACTTTTTAAAAATTAAAAATATCTGTTCTTCGAAAGACACTGTTAAGAAAACGAAAAACAAGCTATGGACTGGAGGAAATATTTGTAAAACATATAACTGATAAAGAATTTGTATCCAGAATATATAACAAACTCTTAAAACTCAATAATAAGGAAACAAACAACTTTATTTTTCAAAATGGGTAAACTATCTGAATGTCTCACCAAAGAAGATACAGGGATGGTAAATACAAGATGCTCCTGAACAGATGCTCAATAGCATTTGTAATTAGTGGATTACAAATTAAAACTATACAAAGTATTGATATATGCCTGTTAGAATGGCTAAAAACAAAAACCAGAAAACACCAAGTGTGGGCCAGGATGCATGGCAACTGGAACACTATTTTGCTGCTGGGAATGCAGAATGGTATAGCCACTTCCGATAACTGTGATCTTGTGAAATATATATTTAGTCTCCCTCTTGTTTCCTGACATATAGTTCCTTAACTTCTTGGAATCTCCAGAGTGAGAAGTGTCTTTTTATATACTAATGACTTAAGTGGTGCCTGGCAGTCCCTAGGTAGCCTTAGAATGGGGACTGGTCACAGGAAAAGACCAAGGCATGATTAGAGGGTTAGGATTTCCAGCCCACCGCTTAGCCTCCAGGGAGGGAAGGGGGATGAAAGTGAAATTAGTCACCAGTGTCCAATCAATTATGCTTGTGTAATGAAGCTTCCATAAAAACCCAAAAGGACCGGGTTTGGAGAGCTTCTGGGTAACAGAACAACACATGGAGATCCTTGGTGGGCAGCGTGCCCAGAGAGTGCGAGAGCGCGTAGAAGTTCTGTGGCTCTTTTCTCACGCTCGCCCTGTGCGTCTCTTCCTCTATATCCTTTGTGATACCCTTTCTAATAAATCAGTAAACATAAGTGTTTCTCTGAGTTCTGTGAGCTGCTCTAACAAATTAATTGAACTCAAGGAGGGAGTTGTAGGGACCCCCGTTTAGAGCCTTTGGTTAGAAGTGCGGGTGAAACAAGTTGGGACTTGCTATTGGCATTGGAAGTGGGAGGCAGTCTTATGGGACTGATCCTTCAACATATGGGAACTAACACTACTTCCAGGCAGGTATTGTCAGAATTGAATTGTGTTAGAGGACACCCACTGCAAGATTGCTTGCTTTGTGTGTGGGGAAACCCCCTACACATTTGGTGTCAAAAGTGTTGATTGGTTATGTTGAATTGATAGTACAGAGTAGGAAAAACACTTTGGTTTTTCTTCACTATCTCAGAATATAGCAGGAGAAACGGAGCTTGTTTTTCTAAAATCCTCAATACCATTTGGCAGTTTATTATAAAGTTTAACATATACTTATGTGTTGATTGTAAAATGTGTCCATAAATGTTTTGACATTGCTTTCAGAAGGTTGAGCTTAATTTTTCTGTTCTTGAGTGTTGACTGGATTTAGTGACTTGCCTCTAAGTAGCGGCATATGGCAGAAGTGACCGTTGCTTCTGAGACTAGATTGTGAAAGACGACACAGCTTCTTGCTCACTTTCTTGGATCACTTGATCTGGGAGAAACCAGTTACCACGTCATGAAGTCACTTGGCCTTATGAAAAAGTTCATGTGGGGAGGAACTGAGGCCTCCTGCCAGCAGGCAGTCCCATGTGAGTGACAAGCCATTTGGCAGTTGGGTTTTCCATCCCCACTTAAGCCTGATGACCGCAGTGCTGGCCAGCATCTTGACTGTAACCTCATGAAGGACCTTGGGACAGAACTGCCTAGCTCCCTCACTCCCACATTCCTGGCCCCAGAAACTATGAAATCATAAATATTTATTGTTATTTTAAGCTGCTGTGTTTTAGGGTAATTTGTTGTGTAGCAGTAAATAATTAATGCAACTTACTGAACAATCAAGCAGTCCCACTTCCAGAGAAACAAAAACTTATGTTTACACTAAAACTTATAAAAACCTACATGCATATAAAAATCTATATGGAAATGCTTTGTAGCAACTTTATTCATAATCTCCAAAAACTGTAAACAACCCAGATGCTTTCAAATGGCGAATGGATAACTGTGGTATATCTATACAATAGATCTCTACTGAGTAAGAGAAGGGACAGAATACTGATACATGCAACAGTGATAAATTTCAAATGAGTTGTGCTCTGTGAAAGAAGCTAGTCTCAAAAGGACACACACTGTCTGGTTCCATTTATTTGACTTTCTGGAAAAGGCAATATTATGAGGACAGAAAAACGAATGTTTTCCCCGGGGCTGGAGGTGATTGGGAGGGTCCACTACAGAGAGACTTGAGGTAACTTTCTGGGATGTCGAAACTGTTCTTTATCTTGATTGTGGTGGTGGTTACATAATTGTATGTGTTTGTCCAAAATCATAGAATTACACATTAAACAGGGCAAATTTTACTGTATGGAGATTTTATCTTAATGGCAAAAACTGACCAAAAAACCCTTTGATGAAAATGATTAAGCCTTTTGGATTAACAGTGATATGTTTAGGATATAATATTATCTTCACTATCTGCTCTAGGACTGTGAACTATAACTCTTTTGAATGTGATAACACAGGAAAATTCTGAGTCATAGTTTACTGAAATGGAAATACTTTTTTGATTTTTAGGTCTTATGAACTAACCCGGAAGGACCGACTGTACAAAAACATTATTCGAATGCAGCATACACATGGATTCAAGGCTTTTCACATTCTCCCTCAGACCTTCCTACTGCCAGCTGAGTATGCGGAATTCTGTAGTAAGTGCTTGACAGAGAATGCCCCAGTCCCCGGCAACTGAACCTGGGGGCCCCAAAGGCCTCCTCCAGTTGTCAACCAGTCAGGGCTTTCCAAAACCTTAGACAACTGTGACTCTTTAGTAAAACAGTTGCAGAGGCAAAAACTATTTTTATTCCGATATGCTCAGTAAACTTGTCAGTATCATTTACGTAAAGACACATTGGCATCACATAACCATGCCCCTGTCTTATATATTTTCGCTTGAATGTCCCTTCTCTCCATTGATGACTTAGTGCCTAGGTAAGGATTTTTTTTTTCTTTTGAGACAAAATCTCCCTGTGTAGCCCAGGAGTGCAGTGGCATGATCATGGGTCACTGCACCCTCTGCCTCCTGGGCTCAAGTGATCCTTCCTCCTCAGCCTCCCAAGTTGTTGGGAATACAGGCACGCAACACCGTGCTCAGCTAATTTTTAAAATTTTTGTAGAGCTGGGATCTTGCTCTGTTGCCCAGGCTGGTCTTGAACACCTGGGCTGAAAGGATCCTCCCCTCTTGGCTTTGCAAAATTCTGAGATGACAGGCATCATCTGCCATACCAGCCTGTAAGGATACTTTGTATTCCCGCATGTGAATTATACATGCTTCCTTTTTAGTATTCCTTTCTCTCTTGCCACTTAAGAAACATGTCGGCCTTGATTTCTAGTCTTGTGTAATTTATGTTCTTTGGGGTTACAGGTATCCCATATCTTTTGATGTTAGGGTTTGGAGCTACAAGTTAGTCACATTTTCTCCTCTTTGAGTTCAGACTAACAAAAAATATATACATGGGAGCCAAATAGGCACCTAAATGTCAGCTGCATGGTGGGTAAAGTGACACAGGAACACATAGCCTGGATCCAGATCTAAAATGGGCTTCTTAATTTCTTTTGCATCATTGTGAACTTACCTACCCAGGCCCAGGCAGAGGCACTGGGCTATTTCAGGCTTTCATCCACAGGGACAGAGCCTGACTCAGTGGACTTAGTGCACAGAAGAGGCATGAGTACAGACGACATGTGAGGCAGGTCTCTTGTGAAAAAGTCCAAATTACAATGGTAGTAGCTAGCATTTAGTGAATGTTTACTTTCTAGTAGGCTCTCTTTTAAGTGGCACCTCTACTCTGGTAGTATTATAAATGAGGAGACTAAGATACATTTGGTTTAGAAACTTTCCATAAGTTATGCAGCTTGCAAAAGGTAGAGTTTGGATTCAAACTGGCAGTTTGGCTTCAGAGGTCATGCTTCTCATCTCGGTGCAGCATTGCTAATGGTGTTGGGCAGCCTGCGTGCAATGACCATTTCCCAGTAGCACCAGTGAGAGAAGTCACTTCTCCCATAAGGAGCAGCAGGTGAGATGCACAGAGAGGACAGTTTTCCTCCCAGGAGGTCCAAGAAAGAGACTATTTCTGTTTTATGGATAGATTAAGTAGCATGGGGAGAAGACAGCATTATCTCTAGACTTCCTGACTTTTGATTTTTTTAACCTGTTAGGCTTGCTAGTCTCTCTGGGTCACCCTAGTGGGTGGTTCATCTTTTGGCAGAGCGGACCAGCAGTTCATCAGGAATGCTCGCTCCACCATTTACCTAATAGCATTCGTTGCTCTAGTTGGGGCCATTCATTGGTTGGTGATTCATGGTTTGCCCACAGACGGCTCTTCAGTGGGTCATACAGAGCGCTAATTAAATGAATCAACTTCAGAGCTTTGGTGTACTCAAAGCTACAAATTTGTAGTTAAGAATCTTTTTTTGCCATGTGACTTTAGCCAAGTTACTCAAACTTCGGTGTACCTTAATGTCCACATCTGTAAAATGGGACTATCGCTAGTGCTGACCTTATAATGTTGTTGAGATATTTTAAGTAGGTTAATATGTAGAAAGCACTTGGAGTGGTGCCTGATAGGGGTGGCTTGATAAATGTTTAATACTGTTTCGTATTTCAGGTTATGTTTATATTATTAGTAGTAGTTATGTTTACTAACTATATTAATACTACTATGTTTTTACTATGTTTTACTATTTTAGTATGTTATGTTTAAATTTGTAGTTATGTTATTAATAACGACTATTAATTAGTATTAGTTAAGCATAATACTAATTAATAGAATTATGTTCTGGCCCTCCAGCACTTGAGTGTGGGCAATAGGAAATTTTTTTTGGAAGGAAAGGGACACCATAAACAGACTGGCCTTTAGAAAAATAACTATGTGAAATGAGCCGGCAGAAGCAGAGGGAAAAAAAGAGACCTTCGTTCTAGAAGGTCTCTTTGAAGGTTTTTGCAGTGATGTGGATAAAAAGTGTTAATGGACTGAACTAGGTCGTGGGAATGCATAGGTATGAGTAGAAAGAAGGTGAGAACAAACATCACTGCCTGTGTATGGGGAGTGAGGCAGGGGTCAAAGAGGCATCCTAAGGTTTGAGTCTGAGCAGCTAGGAGGACCAATGAGTTTTCAAACAGGGAATGTAACCAGAAGGCAAAGGAGAAACTGTTAAAGAGGAGGAGAAATGTTGCATTTCAGACAAGGAATGGATTTGGATGTCTATGGGGCATCCAGGTAGTGTGTTTTATGGACAGTGTAAGAGCAGCTTTGAGTTCTGGCCAGAGATGTAGATGCTGGAAGTTGCAGGTATGGAGGTGGATGTGATTACTAAGGGAGAGAAAAAAAGAGAAGCAGCACCACAGACAATCAGAGGAAAAGGAGATTGAAGAGGAGCAAGAGAATGAGATCTCAGGAGGCAGGAGAGGGTTAAATCAAGAACCCAAGTAGAAAGGTGAGGATTAGAAAGAGAAGTGGGCATGTGTCTCCTAAAAGAGGGGAAGGAAGAAGGCTAAGTTGAGGACCCAGATAACATTTTAGATGGAAAGTAAAGCAGATAAGTAGGGTTATGTTACAAATTCCTAGCATTCTTGGTGAACAGGTTGATGAGGTCTTGTGCCAGGAGTGAGCGGCCTAGGGATAGGTGGGTGCCTAAAGAGGCAGAAAGGGTTTGAATAGCCTCTGAAGGGCCTTTGAAAGAGAACTGATAAGGACTGGGTATGAGGATTGCCTAGATACAGTAGTGACACCATCTCATGAATATATAGCTTTTCATTCTAATAAGAGAAAACCTGTAAAGATGTAGCCCAGAAACCAGTCACTGTCTCCAGAGATGTGAAAGCCTGGGTACTCCTCAGACTCTTTCAGTAATTTGAGTGTAGGGGTGGGAATACATGGCACACAGGCCTTTCTTGGCTCCTGATGCTGTCATTGCCAGTTACAGTGTTTAGTTGACTAGAATTTGAGGTCTGTGACCCTGAAGACCCTGGCTAAGGACCTGTTGCCAGCTCCAGCCACTCCCCCTCAGGGGACAGCTTTCTAAGCAGAAAGAGGAAGGAAGCAACAAAGAAGAAAGATGGGGTGGTGCCAGTATCAGAAAAGCAAAACTTTCCCCAGAATTGGGTTCTATAGCCATCTCTAGTTGTAAGAGAGACTGAGAAATGATTCTAACATGTGAATTTTCATGTCAGCCAATTAATTACAGATGACTACATTTCAAAGCAGTTGGTAAATTTGTAGAATTACAATTTTAGAATTATAAGAGATCTTAGCAAGTCAGGCTAAATGTTAAAAATCTCATTTTAAAGATAAGACTAGATGATTTAAGGAACTTACCTGTAGAATCATACACTTGAAAAGCCAGAATTAGAACTCAGATCTTTCTATTCCAGGCTCATTGCTCTTTCTAGTAGACCAAGCCTGCTGCCACTATGGGAACTGGAAAGCACTTGAAAGAATTGTGGAGCTTAGTACATTTTCATCTTGAAGCAGAGGCTCCTGAGCTCTCTGCCTAGCCTTTGCTTCTGATTTTTCTTGCTTCCTACCCACATTTTTAGAACCTGTAAAAGAAATCAATCCTTGTTCTGAAAATATCACAAATCAAGGAGAAAAGCCTAGCATGAAAGACAAGTCTTTGATATTTAGAATTTCAAGAACATTTAGATTTCAGTGATAGTGAAGCACCTGAAGAAGCATTAACTTCTTTTTTTCTGAGACAGAGTTTTGCTTTGTCACCCAGGCTGGAATGCAGTGGTGTGATCTTGGCTCACTGCAACCTCTGCCTTCTGGGTTGAAGCCATGATTCTTCTGCCTTAGCCTCCTGACTAGCTGGGATTACAGACGTGCACCACCATACCTGGCTAGTTTTTGTATTTCTAGTAGAGACGGGGTTTCACCATGTTGGCCAGGCTGGTCTCGAACTCCTCACCTCAGGTAATCCACCTGCCTTGGCCCCCCCAAAGTGCTGGGATTATAGATGTGAGCCACGGCGCCTGGCCAGAAGCATTGACTTCTGTTCAAAAAGTAGAGGGTACTGTCTCCAGACAGCTTTGGTCCTTTTCTCTCCCTCTCCCTCCCCCTCTCCTCCTCTCCCCCTCTCCCCTCTCTCCCTTCCCCCTCTCCTCCCTCCTCCTCTCCCCATCTCCTCCTCTCTTTTCCTCTTTCCTTTTCCCACCTCCCCGTCTCCCCATCTCCCTCTCCCTCTCTCCCTCTCCCCTTCTCCCCTTCTCCCTCGCCCCCTCTCCTCCCCCACTCCTTTCCCCTTTTCCCTCTCTTCCCCTTTCCTCCTCTCCCCCTCTCCTCCTCTCTCACCCAGGCTGGGGTGCAGTGGTGCAATCATAGCTTACCATATGGGCTGAATTACTGGGCTCAAGTTATCCTACCACCTCAGCCTTAGAAGTAGCTGGGACCACAGGCAGGCACCACCACGCCGGGCTAATTTTTTAATTTTCTGTAGAGACAGCCTTGGTGTGTTGCCCAGCCTGATCTTGAACTCGTGTCCTCAAGGGATCCTCCTGCCCCAGGCTCCTAGAGTGCTGGGATTATAGGTGTAAGTGAGCCTATTAATAACTAGCCTGGTCGTTTTCTTAGACATTTCAATGAAACCCTGTACTTCTGCTTTATAACTCTCAGTGTCTGTAATTACTTGTTCAATGTCTGTTTTTTTGGCTAGTCTAATCTTCGTGATGGTAAAGACTGTATTTTTCACTGCTGTGTGCCCCACACCTAGCAGACTGATTGACACAGATTAGATACTTAGAGGCATTGAATGAGTGACGTTTGAAAAGTTTTGTTATTTTTTGTTTTGTTTTAATACATTTTTGCTCAGGCATTCTGTTGTCTGCTCATTATTGGGAAAATGGCAAAGTGAAAAAAATATATAAACTGAATACATATACATATATTCAGTGGCCTCACTTTATGGAGATTTAATTTTTTTGTCGTATATAACTATAAATATGTCTTCTATAGCAGGACTTTAAAATTACATAAATTATTTTTCGAAAGGTAATATATTCCCATGGTACAAAATAAATTTCAAAACAATCATCAGTGAAAAGTCTCCATTCTCCTCTTATTTCTCAGTCATTGAGTTTTCCTCCCCAGAGATGATCAGCGTTGCTAGTTTCTTACATACCTTCTAGAGATATTCTTTACATTTACTAGCAAATAACTTGTGTGTGTATATGAACAGATGGGTGTATGTAACATACATTGCCCTGTACTTTGTTTTTTTTTCATTTAACAGGTTATCTTCAAGATTGTTCCATATCAGTTCATTAATGACATTCTTGTTTTGTGTGTCTGCTTAATATTCCATTGTGTAGATTAGATGTCTGCAAACTATATCCCTTGAGGGAAATTGGTCTTCTGCCTGTTTTTGTGTGTCCCACAAGCTAAGGCCTTTTTTAAATGGTTGGAAAAAAATCAAAAGAAGAATAACATTTTGTGGCTTGTAGACATCATATGAAATTCAGTGTTTATACACAAAATATTGTGTAACAGCCACACCCCTTTGTTTGCATATTGTTTATGGCTACTTTCAAGGTACAACTGCAGAGCTGGGTAACTGCCGCAGAAACTGCGTGGCCTGCATAGCCTAAGATGTGTATTCTCTGGCTTTTTACAAAAATAGTTTGCTGACCCTTCATATAGATGCATTGTAGTGTATTTAATTAATATTTTGCTGTTAAAACACAGCACTGAAAATCTTGTATATGCAATATTTTACGCGTGTGAGTAGAACTAGAGGATATAGTTTTAGAAGTAGAGTTGCTCATAGAGTTAAATTCTATGTGGCACATGACAGTTTTTCTAATTCTGTTAATTCTGGATCAAGGGAAAATACAGAGGAAGACGGGAGAGAGTGGACAAAAGATCTTTTTTTCCTCCTGGTGAAATGGTTTGTGACATTGACAAAGTCAAGTTTGTGTGGGAGGCCTTGAAGAGACTGGCTCATGTCAGAGGGAGAGGAAAGAAAAGGAGACAAGTAGTTGCTGGCAAGTCATCTGGGAAAAGGAGCTGAGCCTAGAGAGCTCCTTCTGAAGGCCTGCCTGATGTAAGCCCAGATGCAGGGTGGAGGGAAGTGTGCAAAACTTCGGGACTCCGGTATCTGAAAGTCTTTTTCTGATACTGGAGCCCTAGAAAATGACATGCCTCTTAATAAATAAAACCATATTAACAGAAACTATAGGGAACTTTCTTAGGTTTGTGCTGTTGTATTCTAGATGAAATGGGACTGATATCTTGCTGCACAGCAACTTAGGCAATTGGGGAAAAAGGAAGCCTTTGTGAGATCTGCTCAGTAACATTTACATTTGTTTGATTTATTTCCCCACACTACTCCTTCCCTTTCTCTCTTCTTTCATTGAAGAAAAATACCAAGAAAAAACAAATCTCTTTAATTTTTGTCTTTCACCTCACCTCTGCTTTGAAACAGTAATGACTGCTGCCACCTGAGGTATTTCACCAAAAGTGGAAGAGGCACAGTTGGGACTAGTGCTCCCTCTCCAGTCTGGGATGTGAGAATCAGCAGCACTGAGAGCTCTATCCCTGCTTCTCCCCACTGACTTCTGACATTCCCTAAGTGGAAGACAGAGCTGCTTCCCCTCAGACCCCTTGCAAGCCTTTAGGAGTCTTGGTGTCAGTTGTCTGCTTTCTGTTTTCATGATCCAAAGGGATTTAGTGTTGAGCTGAAACTGGGAAAGGAACAGAAGCAAATGGCACCTTTTAATCACTTCTAAATGATTGTCCTTCCTCTCCACTGGCATATTGCTTGAATTAAGGCAATTTTTATTTTATAAGCTTGGAGGAAATATTTAAGGAAAATAGCTGTATTACGAGATCTAGGTTTTAGCTTACATTGACACTGTGTGCCTGAGGTCCTTTAGTTAACAGAGGTGAGAATTTCAAAGATTCATGATGGTTCTTTGTGACAGTAATAGACTAACATCTAGATGTTTGCCTTATTTTGTTTTCATCTTTTCATTAAAGAAAGAGGGGAGGCCGGGCATGGTGGCTTATGCCTGTAATTCCGGCAGTTTGGGAGGCTAAGCTGGGAGGATTGCTTGAGGCCACGAGTTCAAGACCAGCCTGGGCAAAATAGAGAAACCTTGCCTCTACAAAAAGTTAAAAACAATTAACAGGGCTTGGTGGCCCATGCCTGTAGTCCCATCAACTCAGGAGGCTGAGGTGAGAGGACTGTTAGCACCCTGGAGGTTGAGGCTGCAATAAGCCATGAAAGCACCACTGCACTTCAGCCTGGGCAACAAAGCAAGACCCTGCCAAAAAAAAGAAAGAAAAAGGAAAGAGGGGAAATGGTGGAAGGAATTATTATGGGAGTGATTTTGCTGTCCCCTTTTCTCCTCCCTCCTTTCCTCCCTCTGTCTGTTTTGTTTTTAAGGCCAATCCAAAAAGTACAGATAATTTTAGTTGCTGTCCAACACGTAGAAATTTGTAAGATTATGGGTTCCCTGAGTAGATAACTCTTGTTGAAAGGTGATATAATAAACTCAAGTTCATTCTTTTTCTTTGTTTTCTCCCTTTTTAATCTCCCAATATTTTGAGCAGATTCATATTCAAAGGACCGGGGACCTTGGATAGTAAAACCAGTGGCTTCTTCTAGGGGCCGAGGCGTCTACCTGATCAACAATGTAAGTATGCAGCAGATGGCAAACCTCTTTCCTCACTTGTTCTTTGCTCCATCACCCTTTGTACTGGTTACTAATATGGTGCCATTTCATTAAGAGCAGGTGTGCTCTTCTGAAATCTGCATTCAGAAGTGAATTGAGGGTGGGTATGAATAGACTTGTTGCCTTACTTATTGGCAGGAATCTTCTCCTGCACCAGCAGTTACTGCATGGCTGAAAAGACACTTGATTAAATTTTGGGGGAGGGCAACCTGTTGTGTTAGCAGAAAAGAGGCACCTTTTCTGCTTGCAGCATATTGTGATGTTAATTCCTACACACCTGCATTAATTGATAGCATATATGTGTCTATTGTGAGCAGAACTGTGGGTTCTGTTCTCAAGATTATCAAACAAGTGAACCTTAATTTGGTATGGCATCCTTGCTACTACTGCTGCTTCTCCTTCCTTCTGAGGCAGAGTGAGAGACCGAGGCAAGTTTTAGAGCCTCTTTCTGCTCTTCCTTTGATTTCTCCTCTTCTTTTTTCAAAAGCTATCAATATCTTGATTCTTTGCAAAATTCTCATTAAAACTTGTCTTAAATTGAATGCATATACATGGCAAATAAAATCCCTACTGGTCTCATTCCCTAGTCTTATAAGAGCAGTTAGTAATTTTAGTTGATTTATATTTCTTTCATTGATATACATTGTATTGTTAATTATCAGTTTGGCATTTACTGCACTTACATCACATCCCACCCTCCCTTGCACATTTGTTTGATTAGTTTTTATTCTTATGTTTTAAACATTTATAACAGTCTCTTCAGTAACTATGATTCAGTTTCTTTATAAGTTGACTAAAAAATTTAAACTCAGTGGAAACACTCTTGGATTCTTGAAGGAGGAAATGCTAGAATAGGTAGCCAGGCAGACATGAGCAGGGCATGACAGGACCACCACCAAGGAGTATCAGGTGATCATCAGGTGATGGTCAGGCAGTTGTTAAACTGGTGTCTCTAAAATAATAATTGGTAGCAGCAGATGCCAGAGATAGGCAGGTTCCCAACAAATGGAAAACACCTGAAGCCTGTGATCAGCCATTTCCCAATAAGATCTCAGGGTTTGGACAAGTAGGCTCAAGCATGTGCACTAAGAAGCAAAATAATGGAGTTTAACTGGTATATGCGCTTCCTCTAGGAACACTCGACTGGTAAGGCAAAAATGCTTCAAATGAGCATGTGCACAACTGCAGTAAACACACTGCATATGCGGCCCCTCTTAAGTGCTGTCAGGCCACTGCACATGCAGACAGCCTGTCCCATGGAAAAATCAAGGGAGGAGAGATGCAAAACCCTGGAAGCATGCCAATGTATAAAACCCCAAGTCTAAGGTCAAACAGGCACTTGGATCTCTCAAGTTGTCTGCTTGGCTCTCTTCCAAGTGCAGTGTACTTACTTTCATTCCTGCTCTAAAACTTTTTAATAAATGTTCACTCCTGCTCTAAAACTGGCCACGGTCTCTCACTCTGCCTTATGCCTCTCAGATGAATTCTTTCCTTCAAGGAGGCAAGAATTGAGTAGCTGCAGACCCATATGAATTTGCTGCTGCTGATAGACTTTGGGATTCTGAAATTTAACCAGTATTTAGACCTGGGCCTGTTTTTTATTCTTCCTCCTTGGCATTTGGTAGGCACTTTCAGTTTGGAAACTAGTGTTTTTCTTTAAGGAAAATTATCCTCTTATTTGTCTCCACTTTTAGAGCTCTTTTTTGAGGCATTCTGGATCTTCATGTTAACTTTTCTCTCATTGTTAATTCTTTTCCCATCTTTATCTTCTAGATCCCAGGTTGAGGTTTATCCATTTTATTGTTCATTCATCTACTATATTTTTATATTGGATATCATAGGTTGATTTCCAGAAGCTCATATTCTGATTTGATTTATTTTTACTTACAAGTAGTAACCTTTTGTTGCATAATGGATGCAGGTTGCCTGCCTGTCCCTCTGAGGATACTAGTGGAAATTTTTGTAAAGTTCTCTTCTGTCCTTGAATTTTATTGGGATTGTCTTTTCCCCTGCTATCAGATTGTCTCAGTTTTTATGATCCTTAGGTGTTGGACCATATTTATGAACAAAAGACCAGACTGAATAAAACTGGCAGCTGCTCTTGTTTCTACTGTGGTTGTATAGGACTCTTTTCCTAGCAGCTTCTTCCTGGAAGAATCTGACTGTGTATTTTGTGTAAGGGCAAAATGTGTTGACTGTCAGGCTTCACTTTAGGTGGACGTGGTGAGGAGCATGCCTCTTCCACCTTGCCAAAACAGAGTGGACCACATTGTGAATTTAGAGGAAGATTTGGTGATTTTGGGCAGAGCTACCTTTCTTCTGTTTTCCTTTTTGTGTGTATTGGGGATAAAGTAGCCTCAAGTTTCATTCTTCTCTATCAGATCCCTGCACCCACAAGTCTACCGGTCTCACTGTTCTAAATGCTATTTGTTAATTATCTAATTCGTATTCCTTGGCTGATCCCTGATCTTCATGTTTATTGACTACAAGCTTGGACATTTGCAGGATCCTCCTTGGGAAGATCACTCTTATCTCTGATATTTTGGGCTGGAACTTCCTCTGCTCTGTTTTCTCAACACGATCCCATCTGCTTTCTATCTTTTAGGATTTCTTAAAATGTTTGGACTTGCCTGGCTCCTTTTACTTTTTTCTAGCTTTGATATCATTTCATTCTTTTGAAAATATTCTGTCTTTCCACTGGAACTCTGAAAGGGCAGGGGGAGGTAGATATGTTATATGTGGGACCAAAACCCCATCTTAAATTCCCCAGTTGTCTTTTCACATTGAACTGTTTCCCATATGTGTAGAAACTAACTTTCTGAGTGATCTTTCATATTGGAAAGTCCTTAAATTCAGTCTGGACTCAAAACCGTACAGTAAACAATGATGGCCATACCCTTCATGCCAAATAAATATAGGATCTGGTTTTGATAGAGCAACTGCTACAGCCCCAGGCATTGGCTACAACTTCTGTACCTGGCCTAGGCCACTCTGGAGGCCTTCTACCCTGAGTCTCCTGTGACAGAAGGCCGTGATCATATACCTTGGCTCTGTCTCCTCTTGTCTCTGCTCTGACCTTGGTGTGAAGTCCCCTCTCCAACAGCTTTTCCTTCAGCTCTGTGCCAGGAGCTCCAGTGTTGTTTGAATCTCATAGACGGCACTAGTTTGGGTTTGGGTTTTCGCTGCCAAATGGAATTGCTATTGAAAGTCAGCTATGGTACGAGTTTGCTTTTTACTTTCTTAGACATGAGTCAAAAAGAATAGGATCTATTCCCGGCTCATCTGGGACTCTTTTCTTTTGGAATGCTCTTTTGCCCTAGTGATTTGTTATTTTAAAGCTAACATCATAAAGGATAGAAAAGTTAAACTTTCCTTGGTGGAGCCGAGAACCCTGTGCCCAAACTCTTCCCTGGATGCTGAATCTCAAGGGGGTGACATGTCTTTAGAGAATGTGTTTGGCAGGCTGTGTAAGTGTTTTTCTCTCCCACCTCTCCCTGGGCTGAATCTCTTGAGACCCCCTGCACAGATCAAAGTACTTGGCAGGACCTTTTACCTTCCCCCTCCCTCTTTGTGAAGCTTTGGAGTGAGTCTGATTCTTTTAGGTATTTAGTGGAGGTGCCAGACAGAAGCCTGGGAAGATGCCAGCAGGCATGAGGGGAGCTGGCAACATGCGGACATAATGGGAAAATACTCCCATTTCACCCTGAAACTGGAATTTTACCACCTTTTACCCAGACCTGCAAATCATGTTGTTAATACTCTTCTCTCTCCTTACACAGAAGGCATAACCATTCCCTCTTTTCCATACCTGGATCCTTTCCCATGGAATATGTGACCCATTAGCCAACTTGATGAAGTAACTCTTTCCAAGGCTGCTGCCTGCTTTCCTTTTAGATTTGAGCAGGAGGGTGAGGAGAGGGAATGCTGAGGTGGAGGGTCTGTGAGCAGAACTCATGTGAGTGGGTGAGGGATTTAGGCAGGGGCGATGGAGTTAGTGTGAGGCCCAAATGAAAATATCTTCCCCGGTCTTCCCACTGGAGTAAGAGGGCCACTTGTTAAAACTTCCCAATAGTAATCATAACCTTTTGGAAACGCTCTGCAAATAGCAACTTTTACCATTACAAGAGCAGGATAAAGGATAGCAAGAGCATTACTTTAACACTGAAAAGAGAAGTGTGGACCACAGATGGAAGCATCTCGGTTGGTTGGCTAACCTGGTCTGGTAATGATATGCTCTTTAACTCTAGAAATACAGCATAAAGGGACAAAGCTGTTTTTTTGCTCCACTCCTTCAGTAACCATGACTAAATGCCATATTTTCCCAATTTAGTATATTCAAATCCAGGAGGGGAAAGAACGGGTGTTTTCCGATTAAGGTATTAAATTTAATTATGGAAGTCAAATTTAGTCATCCTTGTCTCAACACATTATTCATGGTAAATACAGTATTGATACATTCTCTGAGATTTTCATATATTAGGAGAGTGTTAGGTCACTCTAGTCCCTCCTACGCTTGTGCATATAATGCTGTACTTTCTTCTTTCTGTTTATATGTTTTTATCTTAGGTTCCCTCTGTTTGTCTAATTGCTCAGCAGGTATTTTGGGAGTGCCTGCTGTGTTGTCACTCCTTAAAAGCTTTTGAGAAATTCTCCTAATTATTATGTATCTCTTAATTTTCATAATAACTCAGTATTCTGACTAGAATGGCGTGTGGCAGGTAGTGATGAATGCTGTTGAGCTTGGGGCTTTGCAATTAGAACCACATATATACTGTTAAGTTTGCAGTAATAATAACATCTTCAATTGAGCCTGCTGCTGACCTTTCTAAACATAATCTCACTTAATCTATATATGAACCCTATGAGGTAGTTACTATTTCCTTAGTAAGTGGTAGAGTCAAGGTTGTAACTCAGGTACGGCTGGTTCTGGCATAGACACTCTTAACCATTCTCCTTTACAATGACTTGGATACCATGAGCTTTAATCTTAAGGTCCAGTTAGAAAGATGTATTTCCAGCCGGGCACGGTAGCTCACACCTGCAATCCCAGCACTTTGGGAGGCTGAGGCAGGTGGATCACTTGAGGCCAGGAGGTTGAGACCAGCCTGGCTAACGTGGTGAAACCCCATCTCTACTAAAAATACAAAAATTAGCTAGGCGTAGTAACACTTACCTGTAATCCCAACTACTGTGGAGGGAGGCTGAGGCAGGAGAATTGCTTGAACCTGGTGGGCAGGGGTTGCAGTGAGCCGAGATTACACCTTTGCACTCCAGCCTGGGTGAAGAAACGACACTGTCTCCAAAAAAAAAAAAAAAAAAAGTAAGATGCGTTTCCAACTTTCCCAACAATTCAGATTCCTACTTTGGCATACTTTGGGAGGCAGTTTGAGCTTTGAATTGAAATAATTTAAAATGATTTAACTAGGGTTTGATGAAAACGAAACAGGCTTGAAGATATCAGAAAGTTTTTCTTAGTTGCTCTTCAGTCTGTAACGCTATGCAAAGAAACTGTACCCAAACCTTTCTTTTTTTTTCTAGGAGCTTACACTTTAATTCCCAGTGCAGATAGAAGTGAGAGATAAAGACAGTAGAACAAATAGTAAAGTTAACTAAATAATGTAAGGGTTTGTTATCTGTAAGTCAAAGAATAAATGTGTATGGTTAGCAAGGGAAGAGAGGAAATGGGCATGGGCATTAGATGTGTCACAGAATGATGACCACTGTCAGCATATTCTCTGCTGTGAAGCAAAGTTGGGTGACTAGATATTTGTTGTAGCCTATAGGTTCTACTCAGTAGGAAGAGAAGTGCAATTGTTTGATTTTACATTTACAACATAGCCTGCAGCTGTACAATGATTGCATTGATTCTCACTGAGCTGATTCAAAATGGAGATAATACTTGTGAGAAGCTGATCAAGAAATGTAAGGGAGTCAGGAAATGGTATGGGTGATTAAGTTCATTAAGGATGTATCAGTAATTATGTCATTGTGTTCCTGTGATGCATAGAGATGGCTTGAGAAAACTGTTCTGACTGAGATGGCAGCCATGGGAAATGAGAGAAGAATCTCATCATTCTGACTTGGGAGTTGCTCATAGTGGTTCTGTGTAGAGTTATAGGTCACAAGATTATCCTTATCTTATGAAAAACTGTAGTATTGGGGGTAGGAAATGCATTATTATGAAGACAAACTTTTGAATTTGGGGGACAATTAAATCTGAGAGCGGAATATTGGGAAGCAGTAAGAACAATGCCTAAAAGTTAAGCCTCTGAGGAAGACTGCCTGGATTCCATTGCTGCTCTATTCACTGTGTGACTTTGAGCACGTCCCTAACCCACTCTGATTCCTTTTTCATCTGTAAAATGCGGATGGTGATATACCTGCCTCATGGGGTTGGGTGAGGGTTAAATGAAATAATCCTGGGATCAGACTCAGAACAGCACTTGGCACATCCACATGTTTAGTGCATTTGTTAAATTTTGTTTCTGCAAATGTCGATGGTTAATTCTGTTGCCTTGACTGTGGCTATTATCAACCAAATTATGATTACCACTTCCCTTTTGGAGCCCTTTTGTCCTACTTGGATTGTGGTGACTTCCAGCTGATTTCTCTGTCTTTATCTAATCACACGTGAAGGTTTTTTTCTCCCCAGATATTTTAATCTTGCTGTTTCCTTAATCTAGAATCCATAATAATTTCCCGCTTCCCACCATGCTAAATATAAAATCCCTTTGCCAGGGGTTCAGATCCCTTTGCCAGTGGGGTACCCCTTTCCTCATTGTTAGCCATTTCTTTCACAATTTCCCAGTTCAGTCTTTTAGCCTCAGGTTTGTGAATCGGCCACCCTCCTTTCTGCTGGACTTGCTACATGCCATCTTCCCATGATGGGCTCCTTTCTTCTCCACCATGTGCTTCACAGCCTTCACCCCTCGTTTCTGCATCTGCTCTTCCAGGATAAGTCTTCCCTGACTGGTCCTACCTAGTTGGTCTGCACTTTAACTTTGCAACCTCACGTCTTGTATTTACAGAAATGCTGCTTTGTGTTCTTTTAAATTCTGTATTTTGCTGTTCCTCTACCTAAATATTAAACTTTTCAGGGATGGGGATTTACTGAATCTTAAATTGGCAAGGCAGAGATTATATCTGTTATCTTCATCGTGGTATCCCCAGTGCCGTATACAGCGTCCAACAGTTCTTTCTATTTATTGTATAAACAACTTTTTCTCGTTGAAGACATCCTTAAAAGATCTTATTCACTCCTTGCATACACTTGCTTAGCAAATTTCCTTAAGTGAATCAAACACCTATCTCATTTTACAGAGGAAATGCTAGGATCCATTGTGGATCTGTAAATTCTTTAAACATCTTAGTAAAAACCTTGATTTAAGAATAGTAGTAGTATTTTGAAATTTCCATTATACTTTACATTAGGGAGAAAGCAAGTTTTTATTGATTTTTAAAGTGGCTCTTATTTTCTTGGCATGTAACTATTTAATATCGTGTATACACATCTTTAAAGCTATTTAGGCTGTATTTATTATGTGAGAGGTGCTGGGTAAATTTAGTTTTCCGGCATTGTAATTGGATGCCTGTAATGTTATAGAAGTGAATGTTATATGGCCAACTGAATATGTGGGTACCTTGGAGGAAACTTTAACCAGAATTTTAGTTTTCCACATTATCATTTCTTAAAAGGTTAAGCACTTTGCCCCCTTATTGTAAATTAGGGTTCTTGTGCATTTCTACTCTTTCATTCTTTCTCTTTACTCAATAGCCAAACCAGATTTCCCTGGAAGAGAACATTCTGGTCTCCCGTTACATTAACAACCCCCTGCTCATAGATGGTGAGTTGTGATTAGGCCCTTGACTAAATTGGGCCAGTTCTTTGTTAAACTTTTTAAGCTTTTCATAACCTTCTCTAATAAGTCTTTATTATACTGTTGCGAAATTCTTGACATGTGTGGCTCCAGACAGGCAGCCAGTTCCTTACCTATCTCATGGGATTTATTTAAAGGTGAAATGAGATAATATAAGAGAAAGTGCTTTATAGGTTATATAGCAGTTAATGTATGTATGAAAATTGTGCAGTAATTAATGTGTATGAAAATGGCACACATAGACATGTATATATTACAGTTATATTAATGTATATATACATTATACTGTTGTTATTAGGTACTGTATATATAACGTACTGTGTATATGGAACATTTATATAATTATTATCCTCAAAAGGCAAGGTATATGGGCAGTATATGTTTCATGTGGAGAGGAGGAATGTTCTTTCTTTCATGTTTCTTGGTTTCATTGTTTATTCTATAACAGGAAACAAATTAGGCTTTTTTGTAAATACAAATTTTTTTTTTTTTTAGATTTCAAGTTTGATGTGCGCCTCTATGTGCTCGTGACTTCCTATGATCCTCTTGTCATCTATCTCTATGAAGAAGGATTGGCTAGGTAAGACACTGTTTTGGGGCAGAAGGGTTGGGTGCATATATTAAAAGTGGACCCGTTAACAAGTTTATTAAATCAGATCATGCTATTTTCACTTGTCATTATTGCTTACAGATGCATACCACCTCCTCATCTGCTGTGCTCTATAACATCACAGCCACTATGCGTAAAAAGAACTTCAGAAATTGGTCTTATTTGTCTGTAGTCTCAATGCATGTCCACATGTAAGGTGCATAAACATCTTCCCAGCAGTGAACCAGGATCATGTGGTATTTATATGCCAGGAATTTATTTTCATCCTCATAACAGCCTTTTAGTTGATACATTTTTGCAGTTGAGGAAACAGATTTAGAGGCGAGAGAAGTGGAATGGGGATTTGAACTCATGGATCTGACTCCAGAGCTCAGGAGTCAGACTGTTTCGTGTCCATTTAGAAGTTATTGGTTTTTTTTTCCCTCAACATCCAAGTTACTTTACAGTAGTTGTACATACATTGTTCTCTCTTTGTTGAGGTGCTTTCTAAGTTTTAAGGTAATGTGACTTAGGAGATTAAGTTCAAATTGTAATATTTTGAAGTTTTGTTTCCCATAGCCACAGAATTTTACAGGTAATTGTTTTCATAAACTCTTTAAATTTTTTAAAATAAGTACGTAACTACTATGCTGTGTACTTTCCCCCAACAAAACTGAATTTTTGTATCAACCAACCAGTTTGCCCTGAAGTTCTTTTTATGCATAGTGCCTTTGATATAAAGCAGGGATGTTCAATCTTTTGGCTTCCCTGGGCCACATTGGAAGAAGAATTGTCTTGGGCCACCCATAAAATACACTAATACTAAGAATAGCCGATGAGCTTAAAAGAAATTGCAAAAACACTCATAATATTTTAAGAAAGTTTACAAATTTGCGTTGGGCCGCATTCAGAGCCATCCTGGGCTGCATGCAGCCTGCGGGCCTCACGTGGGGCAAGCTTGTTATAGAACATAGCAGTTTAGGAGGTGGTTTGCATCTGTGAGTGGTCACAACAAGCTAAAAAATCATGGTCTGCGTATGTTTCTGTGTTTTAGAAAATGCAATTGAAAGATGGGAAATACCATGGCTGAAAGATGGCTACCTGTACACAAATATTGTTGTACTTTGACAACTATTATTTTAGAATGGTCTTTTAATGATTTTAGAGACTTAGTTTTTTTTCAGATTTATCCCATGACTTGAAATCAGTGAGATACAAAAGCTTCGGACTAACCAAACCTTCTAGCCAGTGGAGCTGTGTGTTCCATTCACCTCTAGGTGGCAGTGACAGCATTTATAGGTGCGGTCGTATTCTTAACGAAGATTTTGAGTTTGAGCCCTGGGAACATTGAAGACTACGAAAACTCCCTAGATCTGGCCTCTCTGTTCCTTGAATATTGAGAAAGGGAAGAACTGAAACATCTCCCAGTTATTAGATAAAGGGCTGAACCAGGCATCTGAACATGAAGTGACTACTAGCTCTAATCAGGTTTTTATAGGAAAGAAATTGTCTGTAATGTTTATAGACACATGTGCTCTCATGCTTTGAAGTATCACTATACAAAATTAGGTATAAAAGTCTATTCCCCTGCCAGGCATGGTGGCTCCCCTCTGTAATCCTAGCACTTTGGGAGGCTGACACAGGAGGATTGCTGGAGACCAGGAGTTTAAGACCAGCTTGGTCAACATTGCGAGACCCCATCTCATGAAAAAAAGTAAATGTCTATTCCCTATATTATTTTAACAAAATGAAGGTAAAATACACTCCTAACTTCTCAGATATGCAAGATGCTGAGGAGTTTCAGCTTTATAATGTGAGACCTCTGAGCTTTCTCTGTCTTTTATAAGTTTTATCATTCTCCTTCCTCTGCTCATCCTCACCATAACTTCTCTCCTGTGTCAAGTTATAAGAAACAGATTATGTCCTGCCAAAAATTGGACTTTGGGAATAGAGAAAAGAGATCAAGGTTGTGCTTCACTGTTTCTCAAGGATATTATACCAGTATGTTTTGCTTAATATTCCAAAGATATTTTCACCTACAATAATAACAGCCCTCTCTATGGGTAAAATTTGGCATAATTTTAAGATCTTTCTGGTTCAGAGCACAGCATGAGAACAACAGTACCAAGGTTTATTATAGAATTTACTGCAAATATTCAAGTGCTTTGGCTACCGGTTGTGTGTTCGAAGTCAGAATCTATGGAATTAAGTATAACCCTTTTCTTTTGCTTCCAGCAGAAACAAAAAATTTATATATATGTTAGCCAATGGATGCTTTTTCTCAGAATAATTAGAAAAACAGCTTTTCAAAAACTCAGACCAAGTGGAACCAGAAAACAACATGAATTTTCAGGGCTTTCGTTAGGTTTACCTGAAAGTATAAATGAATATAAAAGCTTTATGGAAGCTTTACAAAAGCATGACGCGTGGCAGTATGATGCACTGTTTGCTGGAGTCCTGCGAAGGCACACTGTTCTATGCAATAATTTCAATATGCCTAAGTTTTTTTGACACAGAGTCTCACTCTGTCACCAGGCTGGAGTACAGTGGTGGCATCTCGGCTCACTGCAACCTCCGCCTCCTGGTTGAAGAGATTCTCCTGCCTTGGTCTGCCAAGTAGCTAGGACTACAAGTGTGTGCCACCATGCCCAGTGAATTTTTATATTTTTAGTAGAGACGGGGTTTCACCATGTTGGCCAGGATGGTCTCAATGTCTTGACCTCATGATCCGCTCGCCTTGGCCTCCCAAAGTGCTGGGATTACAGGTGTGAGCCACCGTGCCTAGCGGCCTAAGTTCTTGTGTCATCGCTCATTATGTATCTTGGCATTCACTTGCTTCATTGTAATCCTCAGAGTCTGTTCAACTGTGTCGACAGTCTGTAGCATCTCCAGATCTGCAGCTTTTATTAATCTTGGGCCACATGTATTTTATGTAGACATAACTGAAGACATTCAGTTTGGGATGAGATCACTGGGTTATGTTGAGGCTCAACAAGAAAAACCATAATCTTCCCTAAAGAGAACAGGAGGCAAATACAATTCATTTCCTTCTTAGAATGAATTCTCTTATACCCTATTGCTTTTGTTTTGGACCTCAAATTAATGCTAGGTGACAGAAAGATTAAATTCATTACATAAGACAGTTTTATGAAATAAGTTATTTTGTGAAAACCCTAGTTTCTTTATAGATTAGTGTTTTCAGTTGTCCTTAACTGTTTTATTAACATAAGATGTGGGAGAACCCTGTTTTCTTATGTGTGGGTAAAATATTGAAGATGTGTTAAAATTCTCCCCCTGGTATTTGGGTACAGCTTTTTGTGATTCTCACAGTAGCCCTCAAAGGTCCCCTGTGCTTTTGAATTTTACTCGCATGTTGCTGTTTTGCGCCACCAGGGGACAGTCAGTTTCCACAGAGGGGTGCTCCAAAATGGTGTAGATTCTTTTTCCTGTCAGAGGTGGAATCCAAAAAGATTTTGTCCTGGATTTTATAGCTTTAGGTGGATCCAGTATTGGGTTTAGATGATTTGACAGAGCCCTTTCTGAGATGAAGCTAATAGCCAGATTTTTACTGAAACAGGAAAAAATGAAAAGTTCAAAAAAAATGAGAACAAAATGGAGTTAAAAACCAAATATGTTGCCAGAGACCCAAAGATAGGCAGCTCTAGCAACTTGTGGCGGCGGGGGGAGATGTGAGTACCCATCCAGGGAGCTGAGTTCCACCCATGCGGCAGAGGCGGGAGGAGAGGACTCTGGGAAGGTCCCGGTTGGAACAGCTTTTTTTCTGCCTCAGCCATATTATTCAGTGGAAACTCAGAAAAGACCCCAAAGCATTTGTACTGCCTTTCTCTTTCTCCCCACCCCCAGTTCCTTCTTCAGTAGCCTTCCTTGCTAATTAACACTGGCTCCGCAGGGATATTTACCTTTTCTCTGCTGGATTCCTGTGGTTTTGAAAGAATTCAGGTACTTGCTGGTTGCCAAGGAATTCAGATTACCTCACAGGCTGCACACAGTCCAGAATCTGCCACAGCAGCAAGTAGGGGGAAGAGACACCAACAAGGGGGAGAAAACCCTTTTCAGTGCTCATTGTCACCCTCCCTGGCAGGCCCTTGCTGTTTGTGAAGTTTGAGTCATTTCTGGCTCTAAAGACAAGGGATCAGGCTGGTAATCCCCTCCCAGACGGCTCTGTAGGGCGCTGCCTAGTCACTGCAGCGCTTTGGCAGTCTCCCGGCTGCAGCTGGTTGACAGCAGATCAGAGAGCCCTTGGGCCTCTTGTTCTCTTCCATAAGATTTTTCTGGGTCAGGCCAGGATGAAACCCAGTGGCTCCTGGCAAGGCTGCCTGAGGTGCTGTCTCTTCGTCATCCAGGCTTCCCTGGCTCAAAGTTCCTACACCTGTTGAAGGATAACTAATGTGCCACAGCGAGGGTCTCCTCGGGGCTGGTCTTCTCTTTTCTTTGTACATTTGTAGTGAATATTTGTCAGAAAATATAACTACCAAAGAGGGTATTAAACTTCTACATCTAAACTGCCTAAGACTATGACCATAAGAAGACATGGTATCAGGAAAAAGTTTTTAAGAAGCCAGCGGGACAGAAAAAAAAAAAATGAATATGGGGGGTCATATTCTTAGAAGAACAAATTAGTTTCTGAATAGGGGAAGAGAGTTTAAAAGATCGCACTAACTCTCTGTGCTTTCCTTCTTGTTTTGGTTCCATATTGGTAAAGATCTTGGAGCAAGCAATTCCAGTGCAGTTTCAGTTCATGTTTACCAAGTCCCTACCATATGCTGAACATTGAAATCTTTTCTTCACACAGACATTCAGACTTTTAGACAAATTATTACCATTGTCTTGATTCTCAGTGAGAAACATTCGAAAACAAAAAAGGAAATGTAACTTATGGTTTAAAAAATTTATTGTCAAAATATACTGTCAATATAGACAATTCGTATTTGTTTTCAGTGTGGCTAAAAAGGTGGAGGGGCAACGTCAAA